AGCTTTTGTTAATATATATGTTTACAGATAACAATTCAAAGTGAATCTAGTAGATTCCAAAATTCTTGCTTAAATCTGTGACTTTATTCTTATAAATTTCAAACCTCTGTGTTTTGGGTGCAAATTGTCAAAATTTACATCTATAATCAAATTTATCAGATTAAATACCAGAATAGAAATATTTACTTACTCCAGATGTGAGAGAACCAACTACATTCATGATCCTAAAATGAAACTTTTTGTTATATTTTCCGTTTGAAACATATTTAACATTCAGATGCTACAAAACCCGTTATTCTTAGTCCTATAATACTGGATTAAACTGGAGACATTTTCATATAGTATTTTTAACACCAAGACTTTTTGCCTACTGCTACTTTTTCTAAATATTAAAGGTATCTTTATGTCATGAGAGCATCCAGTGTATGAGAAATAGGTCAAAAAGAAAGAGAATGCAAAGAGCAATACAATCATCCGAAGGCAATGTACACACACATTCATCTAAATGGGAGGAGATTCATCACAATAGGCACAGAAATAATCACCAATAGCATGCAAAAATAAACACCTAGCATCTTTTCAGCTTTTAATACTGTCTGATAGCAATCTAACTAAATACTGGAGGCTATCCTGCTTTGAGTGAATAAAAGAAGTTTACATTTCACATAGTGTGAGAATGGCCTAACACCATAGGGTATGTCGTGGGTCTGTGAAGCTTGGCTGGTGTTTGTGGCTGGTGTTTTGTTGCAGTTGGATCTAGGACAATGCTTCAGGAGGCCAGGAATATTGGCTAATGTAGTGTAAAATACTCCAGGATCCCACATTTCAATGGCCGTGACAAAAGAGCTACATGAGAGGGTATTGAAGATGTCAGTATTTTTTGTGGCGTAAAATAAATTAATGCTATTAATGAGATACGGATGTTAAAGATTTTATGTCAGACTGAAATACAATTGGCTGAGTATCTGTTCATGATTCAAGCAGATGGATGATATGTAGGCCTTTGTTAGATGGGGCGAAACATCAGTGAGGGATATGAATAATATGCATAATATTATATTTGTCCCATCTCTTTATTTATTGTACTATCATGACGATGAAATATTATTATTGTAGAACTGAATTTGTTTCGTACCACTGTGTTATGATAGAAGGCTATAAACCATTGATCCTGATCACCAGATCCACTTATTCTTCTCTTACAACAAGCGTTGTTCCTCTTCTTTTTATCCAGAAAATTCTTTATGTTCATCAAATATCATCTTCTAAAATGCCAATCAAGCATCTAGCAGTAGGTTTAATTATTTGTTTTAAATGAATAAAAACAAAAGGAACAACATGCTAGCATCAAGCTTCTTCTAATCCACCATCTAGTGGTGCTGACTAGTGTGGATTATCAATATCATCCCAATATTATCAGTGCTGTGTTAATCTAAACTTTGTTATGTAACTTAGACAATGTAACTGTGAAGAGGGACATGGTCTTTTGTAAACATGGTCTAGAAGTTGCACTTAATATAGCCATTGTTGCTTCATGTTTAGGGTAATCATTATCTTATTGCTTGATATATGTAATAAAATTTGAGTTTAGGGGACAAAAAAAAGGTTTGAAGACTTGATTGAAACTTGCTGGAACTGCCTATTTGCTTCATCATTGTGCCCCTTTAAAATATCCAGCACCATCCATACCATTGCTGTGGCTTAATATCAGTCCTCTGCCTCTCTCTAACAGATTACGTAAGTCACTCATCTGAAACAAACTGTCCCATGAAAATGGATTCCTTTGAGAAAATAAAGATACTTTTTTTCTTTTTTAATTGGATGAATAATGTGTAAAAAAAGTGATTTTGTCTGTAGCTTGATATACTTCAAAGCTTCCTAGACATTTCCATTAATGACGTTTCACAGTATAAAAATATTAATATGTCTACATAACTGAGAGGGTGCTCATGTTCATCTGAACCCTGTAATCAAATACAAGCTGAGACCATCACAAGTTGATTTGCTGGTGTCAAGTCTGTCTCAGATATACTCAAACTACCAACTTACTGTAATTGGAGTAAATTGTCAGTCTAGTGGTAAATGTTGTCTGCAGTAAATTTGAAGCCACTTATTGATTTCCTTATTTGAAACCAACTCGATGATATCAAGTAAAAGCAATTAAACATGTACATAGATGGGTAGCTATCATTTCTTCAATGTAATGGTACCCCAGAGCAAAGACTGTCTGGTGGATAAATGAATAAAATGAATGAATAACAATATTACTTGCCAACTTCAAAATTATCTTAAATTGATGCCGTCTGCTAGTTATATATTGATGACTGTCAGCAGAAGAAAGGAAATTTGTTGGAAGTATCAACCTTCAACCCTATGTTAAGAACTCTCCATATAATATTTGCTCATCAACAGAGAACTGAACTGTAACCTGAAAAAAGTGTTGTTGTTATTTTGTTTGTGGGGGGTGGGTTGGTTGAAATTAGAGGGGTTGGTTGAAATTTCTTCCTGGCTTTGCTGTCAGATTTGGCTGTATTAGTACAGAACAGGAAAAACACCCTGTTTAGGAGCTCAACAGTATGCATGGACAGCAGGAGACTCTCTGTCTGGGAGAAGAGGGGAGTCAGTGATATAATGGTAGGGTGTATTGTGAGTCGCAGTTAAAGACCCTTGCAGCCATTACAAAAGACACAAAAATTGAATTATCCATCCATGAAAACATGGCGCATGACAAGATGTGTTGACAGGAATTAACAACGACAGTGATGATGTGTTTGAAAGGTACATCAATATGTTGTCTTTAAAGCCCTACTATTACAAGGACTCCATGCAGACAGATCCAGCCTCTCGTTCCTTGTTTCAAACATTCTCTGTACACTTCATTTGTATTTAGGCGCCACTGTTCAGGAGCATGCTGATTTGCAGCTTCTGTAGTACAAAGGTGGATTTCTGGTTGCCAGACAACTTGTCAATTTGAAAATCAGTTTTGTGAGATGAAAAATAATTTTCAAAATATTTATTGATTTCAGATGTCGAAACTTGATCTGGATGATATTCCACATTCATTAACACACTATCACGCAGATGTAGTAATTTCACTTTATTACATGCTCAGAAATATTAATATCATTTCAATTGACCTTATTTCATCTGGTTGCAATTTGATCATTCAAATATCATGATGACATTTAAAAATGAAAAACAATAAGACCATCCCAAACATGCATTCTTAAATAACACATCATTTAAGTTTTTCACAATCATAATAATGATGGTAACATAAATGAACATAAACATATTTGAAATAAAAAAGAATCGAGGATCAGTCAGTTGTTAATATTGATCTTTGGTTACAATTGATTTCTTTCTACTAATCATTGACATTTATGGTTATTAAATATTTTGTGCCTTTTGATAAGTATCATGTTACTATTTTATTATCTTAAACACTCACCAAGTTTATACTTTCTTTTACTCTGATGGAGTTACAGGCAATTGCTCATCAAGATATAGGAGTGGTTATCGTTATAAGGTGATCCTTCTATCAATCATTTAAACATCACTATATTATGTCTGACGAGGTGGTATCCAAAAGATTAATGTTCTAACAGTTAGCGATAAATCTCCATAGGCACTGCCATGAATCTGGGAAATATTAAACATAGGCATAAACGTGATGATCTGCTCATAAAAGATTATTTGTACGAGCCTTGGGGCCAATAAAAGTAAATCTCCAACCATGATCTGACAAGATCCTCTACTCCCATGGCTGGGATCATAGCAACAAAATTCATCTTCATCAATTGCATGGCAAACATGCTGGGAGTCAGGAGCTAACTCTGCACATAAATAAACAAATATCCAATAAATATTGAATTTTAAATTCCATTACTTGGACAAATTTTAACCTGTCTGTGATCTTTCATACAATGAGAAATTGAGGAGATGGGTCTACATGTTAAAATTGGATTTCTTATGTCGATAAAATCCTAAAATCAAATAACCTGTTGAGTTTAACTTGAACATTAATGCTAGTGGTGTTTTACAGTCATCATGAAAGGTTTAAAATGGAACTTAATGACTACTATTGCAGACTGATGACATGCTTACGCTTGGAATGAATTAAAAACTGGTGAAAGATTTGAAAATTTCATAAATTTTGATAAACATGCTTCCTAATACTTTTGGATTCATGCTGTGAGATGACCCAGCAATCTATGCACATTGTTAAAAAGTAAATTAATGGAATGAGTGGTAAGGCTTAGTCATTTGCTTGATTGGATGTCATTTTGACTGAAAGTGTTGGCCTCTGCTCATAATATCAATCCCTGGTTTGTTTCGTCCAGACTCGATTACCTACAGTTGTCTGTCATATTAGTTGTCAGATCAGTTGTTGGTCTGATTCTGCTTTGGAAAAAAGGTCATCTTTCCATATTTTCACTCATCTGAGGGAAAATGTAATCAAAGTGAAAATCATGATCTCCTTTCTTAAGTCTTGTCTTGATGACTATTTACAGTTATCATTCACCAAGGATGAAAGGAAATGCTGGGTTGATCTGGTTACCAGAAACAAACCTCATTTTCCTATTCACTCCACCTATTGAGTACACGGATACAAGAGGCATGATTACTGTCATATTGTACAATATTGTAATGGTACCCATTTGTAGGACACTGAAAACTCAGACAAGCTCACTGCTTACTGATACTGATCTGCTAAGTAACATGAGCACTAAAACTATCCTAACTCATAGTCATATGCTTCACCACAGAGTTAAAATAGTTTTGTGCTTAGATTGCTTTGGGAATGAGGATCTGGGAATTACAAAGGTTACTACTTCCCCTGAAGACACAAGAAACATGATCTTCCCCTGAAGACACAAGAAACATGATCTATCTTGTTTGCTGTTACATGAAACCAATGCAAGGTAATGTTGTTACACATCCAATTTGATTTGATATTGCAAATGTCAGTGCTGAAATGACTGCAAGAATGATCTGACTGCTTCCCAATTTGATTGCAGGCATGCAGACCTGATTATGTTGTCATTTCCATTGGTACCAAGGGAAAGGACACAGTGTGAACCACTTTCAAATACCAATAGGATTTAGTCTGGAATAATATTGAAAATGTGATCTGGTATGTTATATGTTTCTCTACAGTCAATCCAACTTGTTTAAGACACTTGTTCTTTTCAATACCTACCACACCATCTAACCACTAGGTAACACAGGCACTTAACACCAGTCTGCAATTGTTCAAGACCATTATTTGACTACATGAATGTAGACTCTGGAATAAGCTACATGAGTCATGTGTTGTATGTTTGATGATGTGAATGCAGTCGTGATCTTTGGCTGTCTGTAAATCAGATCTCTCCACGTAAAGCTGATGGTCTGATAGCCTATTGATTTGCTGTCAGGAAATGGTTTTATTTCAATATCAGACCTACACAAGACAAATCAGAGTCAGTTGGTAAAGACAGCAGGGTCTGGGGGAGATGATGCTGACTCCTGGCACTACAAATATCTTCTGTTGCACATCACCTTATTCAAGACCATGATCTTCAACCATTGATTCCCTCAATGGTCTCAAAGATGGTGATGTGCAATAGAAGATATCTTCTGTCTTTCCTTCTGAAGGGTTTCATTGTATCATGCTGAGCCATGTTATACAGAGACATCCTACTGAAGGGTTTCCTTGAATCATGCTATCATTACAGGCACACCCAAGGGAAGGGTTTCCATACAGGCTTTCTGCAAGGCACCACTTTCCAGGAACATGTTCTGATGGATTAATGAGCCACAAGAATATTTTCTTCTTAAGAAGGCAGCAACTCCATCAAAAGGGGTACTATTTTCAAGCAAAGCAAGATGCACATACCCTCAAGATCATATAGGCCAACAGTTTGAAGGACTAAACAGTTTGATAGGAAAGACCTGGAGAGAACCAATTCTTTTTAAACGCCAGCACCTAGAATACCAATCTCTTCTAATAAATGCTCTACACACCAAACACCCATGAAAGGATTAATACTTCCTAAACAGCCACCACTTCCAAAGCGATTCATACTAAAAAAATGGCCTACACCTAAAGGTCAAACACAGGGTTTTACACAGACTTTGAAAAATGGGAGTCATGGTGACTCATAGTATGAATTTTGGGATTCATTTTGTAATATTTGGGAGTTATGAAAATTTCAGTATAATATTTCTTTTTGTAAATCAAAAAGCAAGAGTTTTGCAAAGATTTTGTTGTTCTGTGTTGTATTGTCATTTATATGATTAGTTAATAAATATTATATTTTTTACTGTTCAGTTCAATCATAACAAACACCAGTATACTGAACAAATAATCACACTTGTGATTTATTCATAGTAACTTTCAGTTATTAACATGAACTGAAAGAAATATCTGATGAAGACCTTTAATAAGTCTATTTACTGACAACTGACAACATTTGTGAACTTTGTGACAAGTTATCACTTGCAAAGGTGAGTCCCCACGAATCACTTAATTGGCATGATATTTGTATTAATCATTCTCAGTATGTAACTGTGTATGTCACACCACCAAATGCAACTACAGCATAGTTCAATTCAAACAGCCAGGATTACTGTCTCCTCTAAGTTCTCTGGAACAATCTGACAGCCCTGTCAAACTATCACTCTTTGCTTATCAAATCGATTTTATTGAACTGAATTCTGAGGGTTACTAATAAACCATGCACCAAGCTTGACTTGTATTGTAATAATTTGAGAGTCTTTTACAAAATTGTTGCTTCAAATATGCAGGAATCACGTGTCATGTAAAACCCTGCAAACACCTTCAACATCATGAAGCAGGGGAAAGATCTGTCCACATCATGACACGGAAATATTTCCAATTCTTTTATTCTCGATCTTTGGCAAATAAAAGCTAGTCTTGACACACCAACCTTGCACAACAAGCCAGTTTACATGTATACATACAATAATGAAAGGGAAACCAACATCATACTGTGCTCATATCAGTGTTTACATGTACAACATACAATTACTGCAGATTAGAAATTCCTGCCAATGTATTCAGGTATTTCAGTTTTGATGCGTTATCTTTGAATTGCAGATACCAAATCTTGGAATCCTCATTCTGAATAGCATCACTTTTAAGGCTTCTTATAATCCCCATTAACATTGTCCACATGCTGTGAAGGGAAGCAGAAACACTACAACATAGACACCATGGTAGGAGCATCATGAATGTAAGCTTGGAAGACTAACATTCAAGAGGCTCTATTAGGCTGCACTAAGCAGTGCTAAGAGACCCACAATTGAATATTCATGAGGAATGGGTGGGTATTTAGGAAAAAAACCAAGACATGTTTCTTTCACAGCATAAAAACACACAATATTTTTCTAGGACTTCAAGGAGCTAACGAATCCAATTTCACAATGCATTTCTGCTGATAGAAAGAAAAAGGAAACAGAGGGGATATGACTGGAAACTGTCGTGTGTGTGTGTGTGTATGTGTGTGTGTGTGAGAGAGAGAGAGAGAGAGGGAGGAGAGAGAGAGGGAGGGAGGGAGTAGGCTGTTGGTAGGGATCATGAAGAGTAGAGAGGGTGGTGGGGAGTAGATAGGTTTGGAGTCAAATTAGTTTTTTTACCGCATCTTCTGGAACATTTACATTTAGTGACAACCAACCCTCCTCTATCCAGAATTCTCAATTTCTCCATCATATTTCTGAACATAAACTGATGACATCCCTACAGCCAATATTTGTAGCTAAATGTAGGGAAAGGTATGTGCCATGAACACAGAGATGGAGATAGACAGCAGATTTAACCAGTCATGGGACAGGAATGATTTGCTGCCTTCAAGGGTATAAACTTTGATAACAGTCTTCACTTCAGTTCTTCAGCTGTAAACAAATGTGGGTGTTCTATATTCATTAGGGTGCCTGTAGCATTTCTCCCTGTCAACAGATCTTCTGATCACATGACAAATGAAAATTGGCGATTTTGTTCCAATAATGAGATGTTGATCATTAACTGATGACTGTGAATTATTAATCTGAGCGTGAGATATCTGTCATAACATAGTTAAATACTCATAAAAATCAAAGAGAGTGAAAGCTTTGATGTGCATGGGATATTTATTCTATTTCTCATTCAAAATTGCTTGCTTAAAATGCAGGCCACTTTTTTATGTTTCTGCTGACATTATTTAGATTTTATTTTTTACGGCTAATTTATCATTTCTTTTAGGTTGATGGTTTTTACAACAGTCCATCAATTGAAATTTAGGGATTTGCATCCCAACCTCTTTCTTCGATGAGTGATGGTCAACACTTTAACATAGAGGTCACAAATGGGTTTGATCATAAAACAAATTTATTTTTAAATTGATAATACAATAGACATTTTAACATTTTCCATTCAAAATTGTCTCAACTAGTGAACTAATAAAAACAAAATCAAGAAAAAGAGTCACTTTGTGAAGCAATGAACGATAAATTCATGATAATCAACTTATCTTTATTGCATAAGATTATTCATGAAAAATACCATTATGCTATCTGTTTAGATTATGATGATTAAGCTGAGAAAATTGCAGTAGTCTGGTAGGTCTGGTATCAATCTTTGATGAATGTAGAGATTATCCACTGTGTTATTGCATGTAGATAAATCACGTCTATTTATGACAGGCACAATGCCCATCCTTTGATCAAGGACACATGAACCATGAATGTATTATTGATTATCATAAACTTTGACAGATAAGCATCATATATTGCCAATAACTCTCACAGAGTACATAATGTTTGACTTATCAAACTATCGAACCAGTTGCTTATTTATCCCTCATTTTGACCACTATCACACCCAACAATCAAACCATCAGAAAAGACTTGAAATTTGCATTGACTCCTGGGCTTTCCTGAAAGGGGACATTAGAAACAGGATGGCCAGGTGGAAAGGTGTTTGCGGAGATAAAGCCAAGACTTGGTCTGACTGGTCAGCAAACAAGTGGGGAAAGTAGCTTCAACATGGCTGGCGCCAAAGGGGTGCAATCATGCCATCTTAACTAATAGCTAGACAGTTGTGTGTTGACTTTGTGATTACACGGTCAATCTGAGTAGATTGGTTGTAGAAGTGAGCAGTGTTACTTCACACCCCTATTTGTCCCTAGAATTAGAGTGTGGTCAAGAGTTGGTCCTAGGTGTCTGTCCAGATATACTTGTTCCACATTGCCAAATACTTTAAAGACTAATTCCATACCCTTAAGGCTTTAACTGGAGCAATGTAAAAACTTCACAGGAACTTTGAATTTTGTACTTGTAGTATTGGTTTCTCACGGTTAAGGAAACTGTTTAAAAATAATCCAGATGACTGCCATTGCAACATTTCTACAGAAGTTGGCCTTTAGATCATTAACTCATTAATCTAAGTAACCTACTTATTTTTATCTTGCTGACAAATAGTGTGAATCTACACAATGCAGCAGAATGAGCATCATCCAATACTCCATGAAGAAAACACAAGTCAAACCAAAAGGGCATTCTCATCACTGTACAACAATACAATGCCATTTTCAGCTACATCATGGTGGCCTGTTAATGTTTAAGACCAGGCAACAATCCATGCCATCAGCGGACAGAGTAGACTAACAACTACTCTCTGAAATAAACATATTTTACAGAAAAACAACAGTTCATAATAAAAATAAAAAGATATAATGAAAAGGAGTCCTGAAACTATCTTCATCCTGAAACTGTCGACATCTGGACTTACCACATAATCTAGACTTGCATGGGCTTCCTTGGATATGTTTGTTTCAGGGTCTGTATGACAGGCTAAGGACAAAGCAACAAATCAGCTAGCTAGAACTTTTTAACCACTCTATCCTGCATTTAATCAAAATTATAACCAACATGGGATGCTGTGGATCTTTTTTGACCAGGAACCTGATCACCAACACAAAGACCTGTTCATTATGTTTAAAAGGATTTTAAAGTTTTTGTCTGGACTTGCACGCTATCTCCCAACCACAAAGGAACTAATTCTCCACAATGCCCCCTGCACTTTCACATACATACAGTTTGAGATCTAGATGAGTAGTTAACCCAATAGAGTCAATCACATTACATTGCCATCACAACCACAAGTCCCATTCATGATCTGGACATTTTCAAACCTGAAGTATTATTGAGTTAAATTTCAAATACTCCTTGCATGAACAGCCCTACAGCAACATTAAAAGTATGCATTCTACTGAACATTTGCTAAGGTTCAAAATAGTCATCCTGAGTCAAAGATGTGGTCCTTAGCAAATGTTGAGCAGTATACACAGATATGTCCCTTGGGATTGAAAAAAACTACATGCCCAACAGTCTCCAACAACCACTCAGTAGCAACAATAAACGTTTATGGCTAGCAGACTCTATTCACACTGCAACTTTTCCTGGTTGTCTAGACTGCCATATTAACTCTCCAGTACGGATTTGTCTATTCAGGCCTATACCTACAGGAGAGCTCACTACAATTAAATTTTACCACTGTTCAGAATCAGGTTTTTTACTCAAAAGGATATTTGTCTGTCTGGCATAACTGTTCAAACAGACAGCCCTCGACCTTAGTCACTGTCAAAGTTAAGAGATTATAAATATTTAACCTGGCATATCCATTTTATACAAGTGGTATGTCTACTACTTCTAGCCTTCTGCTGCTGGGTCAAGACCTCATAGCCATGTATCAGTTATTGGCAATTGTGGCAATTTTTTCCACCTTCTTTCACAGCTGTGTCTGGGCAAGCCTAACTGAATTGTTTTGTATCTACATGGCGATGTCATGACTGCTCGTTGCCCTGCACCCTTGTGTGTGGAGAAGGCGTAAGTTGGTGTTATATGTCGTCTCTGTCTAAGTGGTTCCTGACATTTGGATCAAGCTGATATGGTGAATGAGACTGTTTGATATCAAACATGGTGAACCCACACTGATCAGTATTTGGTTTCAAATTAACAATGTTCACTATGCATTACTAAAGCAAATCTGAAACTTTGCGTGAAAATAATTGGATCAGTCAACACTTATTTGGCAAACATGTTTTGACACATTTCAACAAAGAGTGTCTTGTGCTTTGTTTGCAACAAGGATGAGGAAGAAATGGATAAAGCATGTCGATATTTTCACACAAATTCAAGTGTCAGGCCACAAAAACACCACCATAATTGGTCAAATATGCAACTCGAAGCAGATCCATAAGGTTTTGGCTTTGGCACAATCAGCACATTAAAATGCAAACAGAAGCCATGCTGAGATTCTGCAACACCACAGACACCTCATGTGTCTCTTTCTCACTCCGACACCTGCCAATGACATCCTCACCACGAACATAGCATGGTGAATCATAATCCCTACAAAGCCATATTTGACAAATCTTGTTTTTCACTTGCCCCCTCTGACCACTTGTTACCCATAATGCCGTGGGGTGAGGTTGTAACAGGTGCAACCAGCACTCATCCAATATGCAGCCTTAATTCCATATTCTTCCGCCTATAATGAAAACATCCATCTTCTTTGTATCAAATCCCTGACCAATTCATGCATTAAGAACATAAAGGCGAGTGTCCTCGGCTATTGGCCGGTCATTAAATGATGGCCGAACTGACACTATGAGGTCAGTGGTGGTTTGTTTTATGAAGAAGCGTGAGTCAGGGTGGAGAGTGAGTAATGTAATTAAACCTCCAAACTTCTAAAGACAGGGTCGAATATTTCTTGACGACTATGCCACTCTCCTGATTAATCTTCCACAGGTCCCTGATAAGACTCTGATTAGTGATCCTATTGCCACCTCCAGACATTGCCGAAATGCTGACATCCATAAACAGCCTCTGTTTTCAGAAATTAACCGTTATTTGAGACTATTATCATAACAGAATCTGTCTGTGGTTAGGAATGTGGTAATGTTGGTCAATTCCATTATTCATACACTTTCTGTGCTATCCAAACACAAATGCCAGCTCAGTTTATTTGGATATTCCCCTGTTCATGAAAGGAGAAAATAATGAGGATCTAATGGAAATTCCACAAGTTTTGATGTAATGACATGACATAAGTGAGTGGAAGAGATTTTCAAGCATGACAACTGTTGAGAACAACATACAACACAATAGCAAAGATTCCTATATCCCCAAGCATGAAGGTCTGCAGCAGACACAGGGCTCCCTTCACGTCGCTGGAATTCCTAAGCTGACCAGTGTTGATCTTAATAAACCAGGAACCAGGGACTAAGCCAATGATCGGCAGTATTTGTGTAATAAACAAGTAAAGGTGGTG